ATATAGCATAAATAGGGTTAGCTCGCATTAGTTTCTAGTTTTAATCTTCCTCTTTGAAGATGATCACTTGGTGATCGAAACACGTGTCGAGGTGTTAAAAATAACGATTTGGTGTTGGAAAAAAACTCCAGTAATATTCAATAGGTAAGGAAGTCAATTGCTCGCACTTTGGTCGCTTTGCGGCTAGCTACATTTGATCTCTAGGGGGGTGGGCGACTGCCCCCCCTACCCCGTTGGCGACGCCCTTCTATACAGCTCTATTTTTTTCTGGTGTCCTTTGATCGATTTCATATGTGTTCCGGTACCGAAGGTTGCAGACCCTCCCCACAAAGCTGGTTCAGAACTAATATATGGAGTTGATGTCAGTAAAATCATATTTTTTTCAGTTCTTCACGGTATTTCTAGAAAAATCTTGACATTGCTTTTGGAAGACAAATACATTACCTATCCGTTTTTCCGTCAACCAGCCACCTTTCAAAAGTCGGTCTAAGACCTGTGCAAGCTAGAGATTAACGAGGTCTTCCATTTTAAAGAGCGATTCGTGGCACTTATTACATTGACTTCCAATTATGAATTTCACAAAAAGCTATCCTCGTTTAGGAGATTATATTTTGTGGAGTGATTACGATCCCAAATCTCAAATGAAATATTTCCAACAATTTCTCTGCGAGGAAGTAGTCAAATTAATCATAGATTTTCCCTTCAGTTCAGATACAAATGAAAACATCAATTTTTGGACGGATACTAAATGAAAAAAAATGTTTTGTTCAAATTGTGCGACAATCACACATGAAATCATATATATGAAAAGTTTGGAAACCTGTTGATGTTTTCTTGGTTTTTCGGAAAAAAATTGTGATATAGAGCACAAGTGAATAACCAAAGAGGGGATTTACTGAAGTTATCGCAATTATAACATCTTGCTGTTCCTCATCAATCATTACTTGGAGTTCTCATATTTTCATTTCTAAGTCGATAGTCATTTGCAGTGGTTGCAATTCCGCTACAT